CACACATTTGCAAAAGAGAAACTTTTAAATAAGATTAATTATTAATTCATTTGAGAAGGGTTCGCACCTTATTTAGACACATCCACTGTCAATATAGAGAATGAATCTTTCTAACATAAATCACACTTCAATCATTCTGCTATGGGTCACTCTTTGGAACAGAAATTGTTTTACCTGGTCGATGATTAATTTTACTTTGCTGTTAATTCTCAGTGTTAAGCTGCTGTTAATGAAACTCAACAATTCCTGCAGATGTTTCACCCCATAAGTCTTTCATTGAACAGAAGGGATTATATCCCTGAGCCGCTGAAGGGATAGAAATAAGTAACAGATGGAGGAAATGTTGAGTTTGCATTAATTGCAAATAGCAGCACCAGCAAATTAACAGCTACCTTTAATAAAAATCTGATATAAAGCTGCCAAAATGAACATTTGAAATGGTGGCAAATAGCATCAGTAGTGGAATTCAAAAGTTCAGTATTAAATTGTGATGGGCAGCAATTTATTCATAGTCATGCTAAATGCTATGCAGCAGCAAACTTAAATACTATACTTTAAGAGTCGGGTAATTGTAAGTCAAATGACTCTGCACTGCTAGAGTGAAAAACTCTGCGATTAAATTTCTACGATGATTCCTTTGGGGTTAAACGTCCTTGTTTCCGAGGTTTGGAGTGCCTCATATTAACACAGCCTTGTTAAAGTTTTGTCCTCCCAAGGTCACAGCTGCCGTTTCCTTCCTGATATGATACACATCCCCCTGCTCGCCGGGCACAGAGAGAATGACACAATGATGATTATGAGAGTTGAGATCCAAGGCGAACACTTTGATGTTGAAGGATGGAGCCCACACTCCAGCCAGGAGCAGGAGGGAAATCAAACAGTCTAACAACCCAGCAGCACATTTGTCTGCCTCCATTCTCCAATCCAGCAGGAATTTCAACTATGTCTGCTGTAACTAGCCCCAGAGAAAGCTAACAAAGGCTTCAACGTGCTGCTCAAAAGAAAACAGGAGAGAGAAATGAGAGTGAGAGGAGTGCTGAGGTGTGGACAGAAAAGGAAGTGGAGAGATGGAGATGCCAGCTGGAGGAAAGACGGGAGAAACAGACTAAGAGCATGTGGTGCAGGATCTGTAAGTGTTGGTAAATGATGAAGAGAGACAGCAGAAGAAAAAGAACATAAGATTTGACCCTATTGAAATATTTACCCCTCTGAGACCTATTGGTATTGCATGACTTGTAGTATTTTTTTCTTAGCTGTTCTAGTTTGCAAAAAAAAAAAAAAAAAAAAAAAAAAAACTAGAGAAGAGCAGAGGTGCAATAATACCTGGGTGTGATTCCTGAGTAAAAATTGTAAAGACAAATATGACAAAAAAACAAAAGACATGTATCAACATGCAACAGAGCTTTGTTTCAAGTAAAGTATTAGATTGGTGCACATATGACTTCACACAGTAAAACCCAGCCAATGCTGGAATTTACATCCATTTAAATTGTAATTTTAAGTTGATTATCTACGGCAGACCTCAATGGCTGTTACAACAGTACAAACAAAGTGTACTGAAATACACTGAGAAAAAAATATGCAGATGAAAATTCTGACAGCTGGTAGTTATGCTCAATTTTCTCACATTCTCTTTCCCATATGTGCACCCATTCAGACAGACTTACAGACATGCACTGATCTGTCTGAATAATAAACAGAAGTACTGACCACAGAACATGTGGAACCGCATTCTTTCCATTTCTCACATATGCTTTACTACTTTACACTTGTAGCTACTTCAGTAAAATTAGCAGCCAGTTTTTTGAACATCTTTTCTAGTTTAAAGTTGTTAGCATTGCAAAGTTAGCATTGCAAAGCTCACAGCTTTGCAATGCTAGAAAAGCACTGACATCCAACATGACAAATGTTGTGCACCCGATTTCCATCAACTGTCTGTCTCACTCAAATAAATCAGGTAACTGCAACCTGTAAAAGGACGGACTGACCGGTTGACCGAACAGGCCAAGGAGCCAGCACGAGTCTACAGACTTTGCAAAAAAGCCAAGAATTCAAATGGACAGTTGTCACTCTGACAAAAATTTAATTGGCGCTTTCTTGCTGGGCGGGAAAACTAATTGGTTCGACAGCACTACGGAGGCGATGTAATTGGCTAGGTAATGTCAGTCACACGAGGGCAGGGGGAGGGGACACGGTGCCATCTGGGTGTCTGTCAGCAAACCGTTAGATAATCCTGGGGTCTCTCAGCTCTTTCTGTGCTCTCCCATGCTGTCCTCATGACAACTGCTGCCAGCCGGTCTGCCATGTCTCCTGCTTTGTGCTAGATAGAGACATGCGCACAGCAATACTAAAGCTTGCTCTACAACAGCTGATGTTGCCAATAAAATACCACAAAGGTGTGTAATTAGGCATGCATGTGAAGTGATCACACAATATTTATTAATGTTTTATTTTAACATAAAAGTATGCCGACTTCCATCCACTCATTTATGTAAGTTTTGTAGTTATATCATTGACTCTTCTAAATGCAGTGCTAACTGTGCTGAACGCTAGTGGGTGTTTTTTTGTTGCTGGTTTTTAATGTAAACAGCAGCTGGAGGGTAACACCAGTAGAGTACAGCTTTTTAGTGCAGCTGGATCAATTTCAAGCAAGGCAATAACACTCACTACAATATGTTTCAAGCTGTCACAACAGAGGAGAAAAGGAAAAAACTAAATGTGTGAGTAAGAGTGTTCTAGTGGGAGCCCTGTTAATTATCACCTACAGGTATTCGGAGAAGTTTCTAAGCTACTTTTAATGAGAGATGGAGCCGAAGGAAGTATAACCACACACCACGCATTGCTTTCAACCACATTTATGGTCTTAATACTGAATAAGCTCATGTTACATTTACAAAAGGATGACAATGAAAAAAAATGATATAGCAATTATTCAAAGGGCTCTGCAGCAGCTGCAAAGTTTACAACCATGAGGTGTAATATACAGTTGAGTTTATGATATTTCAGTTAGCTGAAGTTAATCCTGCAGTGCCTGTAAAGCAGGAGAGGCAGACAAAGAGCAGTCTCACCAACACTAAATCTGACCAATACTGTAGCCCTTTGAGTGGGAGGGTGGCTGAACAAGATGACTACCAACAGCTGCCTCAGTCCAAAACCAAATACACAGGGAAAAGAAAAAACAAAAAAAACACAGATACACAAACTCCCACACAGAGACAGAAGCCCTGCAGAAAAGCATGCAGACACACACAAACATAAACACACTGTGCGGGCTGTGACTGAATATTCCCAGTATCCTGTCAGGCGATCACTAAGGCAGTCACGGTTCATTTTAGCATAGAGCTCTCAACCATCCACAGGAAATTTCCTTCTGGCTCTTTCCATTTTACTGCACACTGAAATCCTACCAATTACATGGCCACAAACCTTTGTGTTAATATGTAGAACTGAGGAATTGCCATTGTGGCTCAGCAAACCAGGGATGTGAATTTGTCTTTTGTGTGTTAAATGCTTGCTCAATTTTTGCAAATCTTTCCTGTCATGTCAAAGTTGTTTGTTTTTTTTCATCTCTGGCTTTTTGGCAAATCATTTTCTGCCTTCCTTGGTCCTCTGACCCTTCCCTTCCCCCCATATCCTTCCTGTTTCTTTTTCCACCATAGTGTGTCCCATAAGGGGGAAAATGCACTAAAAATATAGCAGACTTGTTTGATGAAGCTATGTGTGGAAGAGGAAAGACGGCCTTGCCATTTGGAGAATACATCAGCATGTAGAAAAAGCCTGGAGGAGGAAAACAAGCATGGGAAAAAGAGCTGGAAGAGATAGTTGAAACCTCAAGATAGGCAGCTTAGAGTGATGGGCGAACAGCAAGAGGTCGAGGACATTATAAGAAGGCAGGACAGGAGGAAGAGGAAACCATCCAAAGAGAGGAAACCGTGTGGGGGGTTAATCAGCTCCTCATGCAATGCAGCCACACATTTATCCTTCTGAAACACTACACACTTGTTACTAACATAAATCTGTACACAAAACAATGGAAAGACAGATTAGAATATCCATACATTTCCCTGAGCTACTGATGTGGCAAGAAGTTGTCACATGAAAGTGCAACACATAATCTCTTGAGAGGTGAAAATCAATTCCAGTGGGAGCAGGCTGGGTTGAATGGTGCTTAGACACGCAGGCGGGGGGATAAATGCTGACAGTGTGGAGTGTAGCATTAGCGGAAAATATGAAAAATTGTCCTGCTAGCAGGAAGTACCAGCCAGGAGCCAGACAAAGGAATGGAAAGCGGTGTTCTGCCATGTTTTATATATTTATGACTGGAAAGAGACAAACTGAACATGAAATTCCTTTGCCTTATCAAACATCCAACCTCTCTCACTATCAACAGAACTCCCAATACATAAGCAGTCTTTCCCTTTCAGCTGAATGTAAACCAAATGTTGGCCTGCTGCATTGCAGTGCAGTCAACATCCAGATTCTGTGCTGCTACCAGGGATTCCTCTTAGGGCTACTATTTCTAGTTTAATTTACAGCACAGCAGGAAACGTGAAGCTGCAGCTTCCAGGGGCGGGGTGTCTTCCAGTCGGCTGCAGATGACAGTGTAGGATGACTTAAAAGAAAACACGCACGCATCTTTGCAGCAAACATGCCTGCAGACAATCTGCGGAGCTCTAAAGAACCCCTGACAATAACTGTCTGCAAAGATTTCTGACAGTGCGACCCATCATTGACCCCAATACAAGGTCCCTTTGTGCTTAGCCTACATTCATTTTAAGCGCCGGACAGAGGCTGCAGTTGCTTAATTTGCTCATGAGGGGATGACCCCACGAAAAAACCCCAGGGTGAGTACCACTTTGACCTTCCTCCACACCCACAGACCCCGTTTACTGACCAAAAAGCATACATATAACCACACAGAATGGGTACGGTTTAACCATGTAACCCTTGTTAATGCAATGATGGGTAATATTTCTGGATGTGTGCCGCAAACTACTTACATCTCAAGCATTATCTCATTCAGGTAAATCCCATCCACTAATTCAATATATTCCGATAATTTGGTGCCATCGGTCACCGTCGAGTGTCCGACCGTCTTCACCTGAAAAGGGGACAATAGATAATCAATAAAAGAACAGCATGGGGTGATTAATTGGCGAGCTCAAGACACATCTGAATAGCTAATTAGGGAGCTTACCCAGCAGACCAGAGGTGTGAGCATGAACTGCTCCAGCAAAGGAGTGAACACCTCGTTTTCCATATTTTCCTGGCGCCGTTTATTTCAGCAGATATGGGTTTTTTCCCTTTTTAAATCGGAGAGAAACGCGTTTCTTTTGACACCGCTCATGTAGTTAATTCAATTAAATCGACGCTCATTGTGGCTACAGGCCACTGAAAGACGTCCGAGGTTCCTTTGGATAAGGGGTAAAAAAAAAATCGTTAATCCACAATTTTCTAGACACAAGCCAGCTGTTTCAGATGCCAACGACGGGGTTTCGGCTCCCTCACGGAGAAGGCAGGGATTCACATTTTCTGTTAAAGCGCTTTAAATAAAGATACTCTAATGTGTCGCCAGCCGGGCTCGCTGTCTATCTACAAATAAGATTAAGGAGACTCTGAGACCTGCGCCAGGTATGGTTTTATGCTGAGGAACTGGTAGATAGAGTCCAACGCTGAGGGGAGATATTCCTCCAACACCTCCTTTTAAATTAAATATCCAATACGAAGGGAAATCCAGATGTTCAAGGTCCGTGGTTTGAAACCATCGGGTTACTCCTCAAATTTATTCTAAGGTCATGTCTAGCCACTGATTCTGCTTCCCCTGTCTGCCTCTGTTCAAATGCTGCACACCACTGAGCGCAAGACTGGGGAGGAGGACACGTAGGACCGCCCCCCTCCCTGCCTCTCGCGTGCATCTCCCTCCGCCTCATCGCCTCTTTAGCCCAAGAAAAGTAGGGCACTGATCAAAGCATCTCTTTCAGCTCAGACTACTTCATGCTCTTAGTCATGTTTCGTAGAAAGCACTTAGTCATCTAGCGCAGTTAAACTGTCTTAAGATCATTTTAAGTATCAAAGAAGCAAATGTTGTTGTTTTTTATTGAGAACCAGTTTGTCTGCAGCTTCAGCGTTATAATTTCTAACATGCTGTGGCACATTTGGTTCCAGTTTGTGCTTAGTTAATCCACTGGCATGTATAAATGGTGGGGATCCAGGTATACTCTTTGTCTGCTTTTGCACCATGCAGTACATTAGTGACATGTAGGCTACTGACACCTGGTGGGTAACGTAAAGACTGGAGGTGTAGTATCTGTCAATCAAAGAAACTGTTCCATCAAATTTGCAACATATGATTCGTTTAAATTTAAAATAAGCTTTCTGCAGTCTGTTGTTTGTTTGGTTTAATAAAGGAGACTTGTGCTCATTTCCAGCTTTGTGTTTGTTTATTTATTTATTTAGCATTATTTAGGAAGTTCTTTTGAAATCAAATCTGTTTTGCAAGGGAGATTTGGCCAATGCAACTTTTAGACATATATCCCCAAAATACCACAAATACAACAAAAAATACAAGGTCTACATACATACAATTAATATGCAATAAACAAATAACATAAAACATTAGTGGCCTCTAAAAAAAATAATGAAATGTCTCCTTTTCTGCAATCCATATGATGATTTAAATTCACCAATAGCTATAGCCATGTTTAAGTTTAAGGTCTTCCTGTAAATTCCATGTCTAACAAAACACTGTTGTCCCCACATCTGTCAGAACTCTAGTCACATCAAAAAAGGCCAATCATAGCTAGTAACTATTGATATGGCAACAAAGAGGCGTCCAATAGTGTTAAATAATATCGCTTCATAGAGAAAGATAAACCAATATTGGTTTTTGTAAGTTATCAGAGACTTTGGATTTTTAATAAAATGTAGAGATTCACGGTACAATCTATCAAGATCTTCTTGCTACTCTTGGACTCTAGTCTATTATTATTTCAAAACAATCCCGATTAATCTTATACTGGGCCTTGGTACAGTCCCTCATTTCATCCAGCATCTGTATTTTAGTTCTCATCTTTAACGCAACATTCTTCTGATTGGCTATCCCTGATAAAAACACAGGCTCAATAGCAGGTGGATGGGTCTGTAATGACAATATTATCTAGACTCAGTGACATCATGCATACTCAAGAGTAGGAAAAAAAGTATGTGAAATGGAGCAAGTTAGAGCAGTCTGAAACTTGAGCTTTTGGCTCATTACTTCTACATATTCGTCTGATTCTGATATGCCTCTATCATTAGTTGAGCAGTCGCCATTGTAACATTACAAATTTAACAGAAATAGACAGGTCTGCTTTAAAGACCATAAAACTAAAAATATCCATAATGATACAGAATGAGGTTATGTCATTTTTATTGATAGTTGTGTTTTTAAAATGACTTACTGATGATGATTTACTAAATGCCAGAACAGCTATAAATGGCTAATTTTGAAGCTCTAAGATAACTTGTGACTCACACTATTCAGTAAAAGGTCAAATGATTACTCAAGGTCAGATTTTGACAGAAAAAGAATCTGCTGCTTAGATAATTAATGAATCATTCAAATAATTTTTAAAACAAGTTGTCACCAACATTTTTCTGTTTTATAGCAGTGGAAACTGAATTTCTGAGTGGGCCGGACAGAACATGGAAACTGATTGTATTAGGTTGGTTTGGGAAGACTGTGAGTAACTAATCAATAAATTCACTGTTGGCAACAAATAGTACAATGACTAATGTGTTTGACTAAATGTGACTTGGTTAGTTTGCTGAATGAAGCCAGCAGTTTTAAGCACACAATAATTTTTTTATTTTGCAACGTGATGACTTAGAGATAAGTCCACTATAGAGGTTGAAGACACCTAATCAACAAATGATGAATGGCTTTGATGATGTGCAGAGGGAGCAAAGGCAATGTGGCCAAATAGCCAATCAAAACACAATCACTGGTTTGAGAACCAGAGACCTGAATCACCTCCAAGAAACAGGTTTAAGAATGAATGAATAGCTTACTGTACATATAGTCCCCTAAAACCTTCACTCAGCACATTTCACCAGCTGTTTTGAATAAGCAGAAGTTATAATTTGCATTTAGATTAACGGTCACTGTTGTTGGTGCTTTAGCTTGGGACTATACAGTATGTGTTCATGACAGGACCGGCTGTCTCTCGTTTCCTGCAAAACATGTTTAGCTGAAGCGATGTAAGTTGTTTAAAGCACAATATTCAGCTGGATAATCCAATGTAAACAAAACAAAAAAGGACTCTATTTATCTTTTACATGGAAGTCTGCTTCTTTATGTGGGCATCAGCCATTTAAATGACGCTCTGCTGCTAACAGATGGGCTATGTCTAGCGTACAACAAAATGCTCATTAGATATAAGCAGAAACTGGTAAAAGTCTGACATGTTTCAACATGTAATGTCTGATTGTGTCTTTGCTTATATTTGAACTGCAAAAGTTCCTTTTGGAGGCTTGAAATAAATCCCTCTGTATCCTAGATCACGCATACCGAAGCACTAATTCGGTAACACACCTGTTTTATATTCAAATGTATTTAAAGTCTCTGAAGATGTCGTTTCATTTCTTGAGCTGTATCAGTAAAACACGAGAGGAAGGAAGAACATACTATTCTTTCTTCGGTGATGATTCAGATATGATCATTTTGTGCTCTGATCTTTAACCTTACAATCGAATTTCTTTAATGAAGACTAAGTGGATATGGTTATATATATGATATATTTTGCAATAAATATTCAATGTTATTAACTAAATTATTTAGGCCTTATTTTTAAGGCCAGAAGTAATTGTTAGGTAAGTGACATGAACTAGTTAAATAAAAGATAAGTTAACGTTCAGTGATATGTCCATGCAGGGAAATGCTAATTTGTTTTGTTTAGGCAAATATGTTTTAAGAAGCATCCTGAAAGCCAGGATTCTTGTTTTGTACTTTGTATTAAATCAGTCTCTGATCTTACTAGAAACCAAATGTGCTGCCCACTTCATTAATCAATTTACCATCTGACTATCTCTCATTCATTCTGGGCTGTTATAATTCAAAGTGACTTTGTGGAGGACTCCCAAGAATTGCTGATGAACTTCTCGGTCATGTTTGGCGTGATCTGTGTACTACATCTGCTGCTACAATTATCCCAAAAGACTCTGACCAACACTGTATTCATTTAAAGTACAGTAGTCTGGAAGCTGGCAAACTTTCCCAAATTAGAGACTCAAGAGTCAATCAATGAATCAAAGTCAGAACACAGTATTGTGTTTTGTTTTTTGTTGTTGTTTTAGTTTGATATTATTTGTAATTTTTGTAGCAATAACTACACTACAAAAAATGTATGATAGTCATTGTTTTGAATATCCAAGCATATATTCAAAAATAATAAAGTTCTTTTTTAACGGTTTTCAGTGTTATCAATCAAATCAGCTTTTCAGATGTTGAAATGTACGACACAAGATTTACCCTCACACCTTTGCAGGGCTGTAAAGAAGGTGCAAGAAGTAGCTTCAGTGCTGGAAAATAACTGTTTTGGCTGCATGAATTTGTTGGAGGCTCAAGGGTCAAAGTGGAGTAATAAGAACAAGAAATATATATTTGTAGCAAAGTCTACCTAACGATGCAGTCCTTTTTTGTAGTGTGCTGTTATTTTGGACATCAAGATGTGAAACGTGCACAGATCTGTTCAAGTGAATCACTGATCACACGCAAAATGTTTTTCTGTTTTTTAGGTGACACCATTATGGCAGGTAGAAGCGTTTCAGGTTTTTTGTGGTTTTTTTCTTATTAAAAAAATGAAAAAATATAACTTTGGGTCAACTTTCATTATCCCCTCCTGCATTTCTACTCATTCCCTCAAACCAAAATATTCTAACAATATGTTCCCTGTTTCTCATTGCTGTTCCTTGTGTAAAAAAGTGTATAAAATATGTTATTCCTGAAGATGTTGTTCTCATTGATCATGTTTTTCATCATTTCTAACAGACTGATAAATGAAGCGTACTAATAATAAGAAAATTGGTTTAATTGACATTGTTTTCTTAATTGAATCAAATGAGAACGGGGATTTGCTTCAGTGTCTGTGCAAATGTTTTTTTCTTCTTTTCAAATCAAGCCCAGCTCTTTTCCTTGGCAGCCCACACACATCTCTGCTAACCCTATCACCTCAGCCGACAATTAAGCCTGACGCAGATAATGAAAACCTTTCACGGTTCGTGTACCGCCTGCTTACTCACACAGCAGCCTGAATACTTTTTTTTTCAAAACTCATTTACTGTGGGGGATTAGACCTGTGGAGGTTTGGATATTTTGTAAAGCTCAATGTGTTTGTGATTGTGTATTTGCATTTATTTCCATTAGCGTGGCTTCGTTAACTTCAGACTGAACAGTGTGCTCCTGGCTGTTTTACTAAAATCTATTATTCATGAGGCTTTTAAGAAGTTTTGTCACAAAGCGGCATCCACCTCCACCTAATGACTCAGTGATTTAACAGCACTTCTCTCACACACTCAGCTCTGAAAGTGGGGAAAAAGACCCAGTGGAAACCTACCAAAGAGAGCCACATGGAAACTTCTCCTCTAGCTGACGTAAAAGACGCACTGGCAGCTCCTCTCTAAGAAAGTTCTCTTTGACGACTGTAGTTTCCTGTTAGTTATTCCACAGGAATTTACAAGACGCCACAAACATTTTAATTTGGAGCTGGGCCCATCTCTTGTGGTCTTGGATGCAGCTTTGAATGACTAAGGCTGCACAGAATTTCCTCTTTCTTCAACTAAAGATAAAATGACTATTACAAAA